TCTTGCCCCCCCTTGCCTTTACCAGTTAGGTTTTTTATTATTATTATTATAATTATTATTATTATTATTGTTATTGTTGTTATATTTTTCAGTGTCTCCTTCATGCCATTATTAAATTCATACTGTGACATGTCGCTAGTTATGTTATGGCCATAATTTACACAGAAATCTAAATATAATATCATCATGTAATACATTTGCATTGATATTTATACATGTTAATTACAAATGATTGAATACTTAGCATTAATTGTTGCCTTAGTTGTATTTACTGGTAGAAGAAACATTACAGTTTTGTGTTTTTAAGCATGTTGCTTATTTTGATGAAATAAGCAACATAACGAAAAATTCATGTTTGTATGTCTTCAAGAAGTGTCAAAAACAAGTACTGCAGCAAAGGTTTGGCATTTCTATCTGTATTTCAAATGTTGTCATTCACAGAACTCATGTCGCCTTAGAAGACAGATGCACATTTATTTGAAATTATTACCCCAACAGTTTTTAATCATTTATTGCTCACAACTCTGTTTTTCTAGCCCATTCAATCACAAACTTTTCCTTTTGATTGCCATAATGGAAATGACCTTTTTTTGGACTAATAACGTGCACTTCAGTGGGCAGTCGTTGCAGATTCAAATGAAGAGAGAAACAGGAGAGTAAATTCCATTGTAATTACCGTCAGCTGAGTTTCTGATTGTAATGAATCAAATCAGCCATGTCTCACCCTGATCGCACAGTGACAATAGAGGAGAACACTCTCCTTTCTCAGGCACTCCATATGGTGATGAAATGTATATGGAGTGTGATGAAGGTTATTGTGTACTTTTTATTGGCAAATGCCCTGGAGCTCTTTGTCAGGAACGAAGCGAGTGTTACATTACAGGAAACTATTTAAGAGCCATTTGAGGTCACTCCTGAGACTTCTTAAGCTTTCTTTACCACAGGTCCCTTACAAGTTTTGATCACCTTCGCCAACTTGTCTGACCCGTCAGTCCCTGTCAGAAAAGATGAGCGGGAAGCTGAGACATTAAATCAGAGCCCAAATGTGAGCTGGCTTGTTTGCTCTGACCTTTGACTGTTCCCTCGTTTACTGTTGGTCCTTCTGTCAAGGAATTAATTCATCTTGAAAGTGTTGTGGCATCCAGTGTTTTGTCATGTTATGCTGAATTAAAAGAGTAATGTTACGAGAACAAAAGCGTTCTGATTTATATCCAGGTATTTTGAGAATCTCCTTTCTTATTTATCTAGCTATGCTGTAACAACTAACACCAAGCTCTACATGAATAGCAGTTGATGTCTTTGGGCTGCTGCAGACTTACTAATCTAGGCACTGAAAAGGGGATCTCCCGGCACCAGTTCAGCAGATTTCTGAAACTATGGTGGAACAATGTGTTTGATTCAGTTAATCTATTGACTTTGATTCGATTCAGCTTTGTGGATTCGAATTGACAACACATTTATTCCCAGCAACCCTTGACAAGAGCTGGAACTCAAATAAGGTCTGTTGATGGTCCTTTAATTATCCAGGGACTTCTGCTGTTGGCATATAGTGACGGCATGTGTGTTCAATGCTGTAATAGCAGCTGCATCAGTGGCCTTAAAATTCAACAGAATGTAGCCCTTGTTTCCAAACGTAAGTTTCCTAATCCTTACTTTAAAATGAATTGTTAGATAATGAAAAGATCAGTACAAGATGCAGAATATTCCATTTTTATATTAGCCGTCCTGTTATTAAAGTTGAAGACAGCATTAAGGAACAGGCTGAGAATATGCCAACTTCTTGGTCGGGTGACATACTGTAGCATGAAAAAAGATGGAACTTTGTGGAGCTATAAGAGATCCCTCACAGCTGTTAAATAATGAACCTGTCTCGTGGAAATCTGTATTTATTTATCCATATAATCAATACAAGAGCCTAAACCACACCATTATATCTCAGCCTTGACCATCTGACCATCTTAAAAATAAGAGGAAAGTCAGACAAAATCTTGTATATTGGCAGAATTTTCCCAATATTACCCCTCTGAAAGTAAAGTTTACACGAGTATGTAGTAAGTGCATGGTTTTTGAAATTGACTTTTGTTGATTATAAAAGGTACAGTGATTTTTATTTCACAGGAGCCAGGACATTTTCATTTGGTCCCAGAGATAATTTATTTTAAATTATTAAGATTTGTTGGAACTTTTGTACATTTCTCGGACACAATACAAAGTTGTAGATAAAAAGGAAATGTATTATCCTTTCTTTTAGTTATTGCTAGTATTTAGTGAATCATTTAGTATTTCAGAGGAGTGACATTTAGGTCATATTGTAGTTTCTGAACATGGCCTTTAGACATACAGTATGGGCACTGATCATTCTTTTTTGTGTAAAACACAAGGCATTGACTACAAAATTACCTGACACGTTATTTTTTTAGCAGATTGGTTCTTGTTATTTCCAGTTTTAAGGGCATAGCATATAATAGCATATGTTTTCCAATGTTGTTCAATGACAAATGTTTGAATTTTATTTACTGTACACGGGAGTCTCAAGACCCATAAGATGTGTTAACAATTAATGTCATCCCCCTGGTCTTCTCTTACTTTTAATTGTTTACATGTCACATACAATAGTTCTCCTATTTCTTCAATTGATGGCCAAATAGTGCACATCGCACAGTCAGTGTGCTGCTGAATTACCTAGTGATTAATTACTTCTCATGCAAGACTGTCCTCCATCAATAATTAAGTAACCCATTGTTAACTAATTTACTGGACCCCGAACCTCTAGGTGTCTTGTCTCTTCCTTGATTTGTTTTTTCCCAGGTGTAAAATCTTATCCTTTTCACCCTGGACTGTGTCCAGCTATTATGAATTAATTTCACCTGAATATTTGGATCAACATTCTCTTTGCAAAAAAGCTAGAAAAAAAGAAGATATTTATGTGGCTGAGAAAGACAAAGTGTACATAAAAAACATATAACTAGCCAACCACGATATCGTTCCTTCTGTATGATAAAATGCACCCAGGTATGGATACGGAGAAGTCCTTTCATGTTATCCTTGACTTAACTTGTTTTTCCCAGATGATGCCATATCTTTCAGTAAAATATCAATTGCTGTTCAGCTTGTGACAAATATTAAAAAGAAAGGCGTTCATCTGAAAACACATTGAATTATTATGAAGAAAGACAACTGGGAGATCCAGCTTATTTAAGAAGGAAACAAGTATAAAAGCCAACAAAAGAACAGAAAATCATGGTTCTTCATTGTTAACAGGAAATATTCTAAAGAATCTAGTTATTTTGAAAATGCTGGAATCATTTCGAAGCAACGTAAACATCTGTGCTTTCTCTTCCTTCCTCTGTGCCAAGGTATAGAAGGGTCTTTTAATTGCTGGTGTCGTCCAGAGATTTAAAAGCATTAAATTTGCTCTACGTGACTTGGAAGATGAATGTTTGCCTTGGGGAGGAGGAGCAGGGCTGGCGATTCATGCTTCAGGGCAAAGAGAGTTCGATTCAAGGCATTAATCTCTCTCTTTGCAAATGGTTATTAATTGGGGTAATAAATTGGCGGCTCCTGTCTTGCAGAGTTTCGCAGAGAACACCATGAATGAACTCCTTGGCTGGTATGGCTATGACAAAGTGGAACTGAAAGATGGGGAAGATATTGAGATAAAGAACTACCCTGATGGTGAGAGCAGGCAGCACATCTCTGTCTTAAAAGGTAAGAGCGAGCATTAACATGCTGTAGTGCTTTGGGCACTTTAGGGTTGGGCAGGAGCACAGCTGGGCAAAGAGGCAGGGCTGTTCTCCTGTAGCGTGTGACTGAAGCGGTCTCCATCAGCTGAGAGATCTGACCACATCTTCACAGAAGAGACATTGGACGCTAAGGGCTGGAAACTAGTGGTCTCTCTCCATAAATTTATATTTACAGTCCCACTGCTGTAAATATGCAGTAGAATAATAGTATAATATACAGTAGAAGTTTAGAATTTAAAATCTTGTTCCCTGTTGGAGTTTGTAAATGCAAAAAAATGAAAATCAGTCTGAATAAAACCTTGGCCAGCCAGTTCTAGATATAGACAGACAATGTATTCGTATAATTCCAATGTACAAAGGTAAATTCATGTATGAACCCTTTGGTATGCAATAAAGTACACAAGAAAAGCAAAATGCTTAGGAACAAGGTCTCAAAATGAACTATTATTAGTAATAAAATAGTGTTTTTAATAATTATACATGTGTCAACAGCTTGGTCCACTAAAGTACATAATAAAAAATAAAAATAAAATTTTAGAGAGTAAAATTGGATTAAAAATAGACAAAAAGAGTCCCACACTATTTCAAAGCACACTTCTAATATTGTTAGGTTACAACCTGGAACACTGTAAAAAGCAAAACCTGTTTTTATCTCTTTGCTTCTAGTTATAAATTATCTGTGTACGTGAACATGTCCAAGTACTGTATAAGGTCATGAACATTTCTTAGATAGATTTCTTATATAGATGAACATTTCTTTTATAGCTCATCATGTACACTTTTTACACCCTTTCCATTTGAATTCTGAAAAAATATGAACACACATGCGTAACGAGAGGTGTCCATTCTTGAGCTGGCATGTCCATTTCAATGACAAGGGGTTCTCCCGGTTAAATCATTCTTCCAGATCGACATGGCTTAATGAAGAGAAACATGCCCTGGAAGAGGTATTAGTAAGCACATTGTAAACTGAAGTCTCTAGGACACTTTGGGTCTATCAACCCACCACCGTGTGTGACTGAAGCTCCAGTAGAGCTACCAGCAAACAGGAAGTACTATGATGACCCTGACCCAGTGGTGGTTTGTCCAGTTTGCTGTGAACTGCAGTTTGCAGTTTGCGGCTGCTCATGCAGTTTGGCGTCATGGAAGACCAAGAAACACAATTAAGAGTCATCGGGCATCCTTACAATGGTAACATCATGACTCGCCTTGACAGGGCAGCACAACTACATACTGTATCAGCACTGATAAACAGCACTGGGTAGCACTGGGCCAGCAAGAGAAACCACAAAATATTTGGTGAGGTCTGTGAAAGAGACAATTTTTGTCTAATTTAGTAGGAGGCACCAAGAAGTGGAGGGCAGTTAATGTCATCTTTAGGGGATTGGTTGTGGTTTTTCCAGCTGTTGTAATGGCAACACAAACGTCAACATAAATCTCTTAATCTTGTCTTACAATAATATCCATCCCACTATCCTTTCCATGCACTGGCCTGCCATACTACTGAAGACCATCCCAATCAAGCAAGCTTGGTAGAAAAGTGATCAAATGAATTCGCACCCAGAACTAATACAATCAGCCTAACTGCATTCTGTTTAGTGTTTATCTTGAATCTGGGTTTGTGTTTCCATAGTTTTCAGTGTAGAAATGTAAAAGCATTACCTGCTTTTTTAAAAAACTCTGAAGTTGACCTAAATAAGAAGGCATTCATGTCTTACTGTTCATTGAGAAGGTGTCTTATAATTCAAATAAAGTTAGGGCTAAACATTGCAAAATGGTAAGTAATGATACACCTTCTATTTGATTAAATGTATAGAATGTCAGAATCTCCCTTAGAAAATGAAATCCTTTAGAATTTCTTGATAGCTGATTTAGAAAAGAGATTCAGAAAGGAACTGATTCAAAAAATAGATATGTAGCCACAAAACTTTCAAACATCTTTTTGATGTAACTTCTGACTGCTAAAAGACAGATGAACTTATTGCCAGAAGTTTCAGATTGAGGAACTGTGATGTATATTCACTTTGGAGTGCTCTAGAATAATAAAGTGAAATTCACTCCATCATTGTGAGGTCAGTATAAATCTCATCCATGTACATCATTATTATTACTAACACAAAATGTCTTGCATAAAATAACTGATTATTTTAACAAGAACTGTTTGAAGTTATTTTAAAATTAGGGTGTTTTGTCAACTGCTTAAAAAACTGCTTACTGTTTTGTGGCTGCTTTTCTGTATTTTTAAGAATCAGTTCCAATTCAGAATGCATAAAAAGAAACAACCAAAAAATAAATATTATCTGAAATGTTATATAAAAATCTGTTTTTTAAGATGTTTGAGTTTGTACCTTCTGCTAAGAGCTGAGTATGCAGTGTTTTATATATATATATCAACTTTAATTTGCTATATTTAAGCTTGTTCTTGTACCTCATTTCATTCTGCATTATTTGTCCAGTTTCCATGGATATGATCTGCCACAAAATGAGGTTCAATTTGATACTAACATTCTCTAACATAGAAAGTTGCCAATACCAAAAATGACGTGGTATTCTGATGATATTTAAATGCATGGCAGATGGACTGTATTTAGCATGTAATTACATTCTGCTTAAAACAAAACACATGAAGAAATTATAATGCTCTTTGTCTGTTGGGATCCCTGCAAATAGCTAGATTAGGTGGAAAACAATGAAACCTAATTAAGTAATTCATTTTCTCCACGTCCATGTGAATAGTTAGAAAAGCAGAGTTTTAAATAGAAACAATAATCGACAAAATTGTTTAAGTTCTTGCATCATTGCTGCATTTGGAGATTCAAAGGTAACAAAGCCAAAGGAAAAAGAATATAAACCTTAGCCAGGGTTTAATTAAATGACTTGCCCCAAAGGTTTGCAAAGACAATTTTAAATAGAAACTGAGCAGTGCACTGTATGTGTGAGCTCACAGATCCGCCTACAAAAACATTTCTTCGGTTTGCAGTCCTTGTGTGTGTGTGATAAGTGACATTCAATACAGCGGAATTGTTGCATGCAATATTAGAAAGCAGGGCTAAGCCAAACCAGAGTGTTCAAGTAACCAGTATATCCAATAACATCTGTAAATACTGTAAATAATCTTTCATGAAAGTGGAAAAATAACAGGCATTACCTTTCGTATTTAAGTACCAGACCCTGGCGATAAATCATCTGAAGGTTTTTGAGAGTTGTGTGGAAGAAATCCTCTCCTCTTTTGAGCTAGCAGAAATTAAAGGAGAACTGCAGTCCCAGTTTGTCATACTGGTTATTAAATCTTGGTAACAAAATAAATGTATTGATGTTATAGAAACATTTTACAAATTTCAAATTAAGCGCAATTTGAGTTCCCACGAATTGTGACGTACTGCGGCCCTTCCTGCTCACTAGTCCCTGTAATGACTAATGCAATATAAAAGCGAATACATACAGGTTGTGCAGCAGACATTTCACCGCAAAAATGTTCCAGTGTGATCTGCACAGTTAACGAGTAGTATTCGTCGGCAAATCCATCTCGAAATCTAAAGCAATAATTTTATTGGATTAAAAGAGATGTATTCACAAGCCTGCTTATTTACAGTGCAATAAGGCTGCATCACGTCATTGGGAAGTTTGTTGCCTCATTACAAATCGCAGAAATTGTCTATTTTGTGATGTAAATTGGAGGTGTACATTTTTCTTTCAGTGTTGTTTGAAATGCACTTATTAATGCTGATTCTTTCTAATCCCAAAATACAAAAACAGCACAGCAGTTCCCCTTTAAGTCAGATTAGGAACTGTGTACAGAATCCATTATTGTCGCTGTAAGTCATTATATGAGGTAGATGTCTGTGCAGTAAAAAATCAAGGATGTTCTACTTGGCTTATAAACTAATAAGGCACAAAAGCCTGTTGCTGTTGATCTTGAGGAGTCACTGTTCAGACCTGTTGTCTGAACAGTCTAGCAGTATGTCCTTAAGTAATATGTCCTATTCACATACTGTGCATCCCTTCACCCAGTGATGTGATGAAGATCGCAATTAACAGTGCACATCTGGTACTGAATAGATGGAAGCCTCTTAAAAATTATGGTCCGTCGCCAGCTGGCACGCCCCTGAGCTGTGCCGAATTTGCTTCGTAAAGCACGGGTTCGAGAATGCAGGTGCCAGCATTCCTTTTTAGGGGCTATAGCAGCATATTATGAACCCCTCTCCTAATCGGTGTTTTCCAAAGCCAACAATGTCTTTAAGAAAGCAATCAAGCTTACATGAATTAAAAAAAAATCAAGGAATGAACTCAGACAGTTTTAAGAGTTCTGCCCAGATGCTGCTATAACATCCACTGGCTTCAAGGCAAACCCCTGCACTGAAGAGGCAAACAATAAATCAAGTTGTGTGTAATGGATGGTTAAAAAATAACTTCGGCAGGACTTGATTTGGCTTTCTTGCTTATTTCTTCAGAAAAACAAATCTATGGAGGGATGATGAATACTGTTCGCACTTCAGATCTTCTTGAATAGGTTTTGTATCTTTCAGCCACTTGTTTCTCTTCTTCTACTCTTCTAGTGTAACGGGAGACCCACAGAAGGCAATTCTTTCAGATTTCATGTCTGGACCAAATTGTGTCAACGAAAATGAAGAATGTATACTGAAACAAAGTAAACACTGCTCTCCGGTGCATTTCTCAAATGTTTTGCCTTTAACAACTTTAAATGAGACAATATGAACTCCCTCCTCATTCACATGATCACTCACAGAGACTAATCTGTTGACCTTTAGCTCCACAGTCTGTTTTGATATTCAGGTCACTTTGAGAAGGCAGGAGGCAAGGCCACAAAACCTTGAAGCTGTTGAGAGAGAGAAATACAGCTAGGTGCCCTGTGTTTTCTGTGAATGAATGTCATCCCGCAGACTAGAATGTCTGAAGGGCTTTTTGAATCACAATTTGTCAGCAGCTTTGTATCCATTATTAGGCTACTTTATTATTATGGCTACTGTATATACAGTATAGTTATTTACAATTCATTGAGTTACCAGAGCCCTGCCTTCAACAGACATAGAAATTTTACCTGAATCAAGACACTAAACTGTTTTAAAGGGCCAAGAGGCAATCTGTGTTCCAGAATCCTGTCTGGGAATAAATCGCTCTCCTAAATGGATGTTAAATAAATGGAAACCAATTTCCCAAATCCAACCAATGCATCACTAGGCAAGGAGAAAATTATTTTAGCTCTTAGATTCCACAAATAGGAATTGCTTATGAAGAAAAACTCTCTCAAAACCCGGGGCTTTTCCTAAAGTGTTTCCTCTCTCATCTGAAATGATCTTTCCTATTTTTCTTTATCCTGTTTGAGGCCTGTTTTGTCCTTTATCCCATTCTAATGGCTGGCGTAACGACCTCCCTCAGAATGAGCAAGTCATGGCTACATATTGATGGTGGAAGGTGGCCGACTCAATGCCTTAACAAAATTAACAATTCATAATGGTATTTGACCACATTTACTCCCTTAAGGATAAAGGGCAGCTCCTTAAACACTAAAGCAGTGGCCATTGTATCATGTTTTTCGAATGGGATGCTTTTCTTGGAAACTCCAAATATTTGGTTATCCTCAAACCACAAGAGTATAACATTGACATTTCTTAATGATTTTAATTTTAAACATCAATTTAATGATACAATATCATGTAGAGTACTATTCAATATGCCAAGTATGTACATTCTGTAACTTGTAGTTGTTTGCAATTTTATATGGTATGTACAGTAAATGTATCTGAGATTCTTTTGCAGTGTTGATTTATTTGAAATATTCAAAGATGTTTGTTATCATACAGCTAAATACAATATACAACATATTTTGTTTTGCATGAGTACACGTTCAATTGTAATCTTAGTTTTATTAGTAACAGGTCAGTAAAGTGACTTTTGATATAAATCAATATATAGCAATGATAGCTTGATGAATGTCATTAAATTTACTTTGTATTTTTCTCCTCATCTTGTGTTTATTCCTACTTTTCTACTAGAAGCCAGGTTGCATTTTGATAGATGCACCACTTCATTATTTCAAAAGTAGTAAGATTCCTTCACGTTCCTGATAATATAGTGCATTGCAAAAGTATTCAGAAACTTCACATGGTGTCCGATTTTGTGAAATTACAAAATAATGCATACACATTTTTTAAGGTTGAGGATCACTGATGAAAAGCCATTTTCAAGCCTTTCTGCAATTTCTCAGCATTTTGACTGGGCCACTCAAGGACCTTCACTTCCTTATTCTTAAGTTACTTCAGTATAGGTTTAGCCTTGTGTTTTGAGTCTTTCTCTTCCTGAAAGGTGAATTTCTCTTCCAGTTTCATACAATATAAATAATGTAAACCACTATTACTGCACAAAGACAGAGGTCACTCAACTAATTGTGTGGCTTAATAAGGTTTGCTACAGCAAAGATTTTGATCATCAATCATACATTGTCCTTTCATATTATTAACTTATTTTTGTTTTTTACTTTGGATGTGTGACTGTATACTTTGGACTGTATACTGTATACAGTGTGTATACAGTGAAAAAACTGTAAATACTTTTTTCAACTTTTTTTTCTTGTTTTCAAATTATAAAGCCACATATGTTTATAATTAATATGAGCTGCATAATTACCTCTGCATGTTTAGAAGTTACAGGTGTGTGTAAAAAATCAAATTGATGCTAAATCTGTTAGACATATAGAAAACTCTTGAGTGCAACAATATGCAATCTGGCTCAAAATTATTGTCTTCGCTGGAAATCCATACAGCACTGTCTGGAATGTCTTTAGATGCCTTTTCATTCTTGGAGAATTGTTAAAAACCTGCCTTTCAACATTCTAATTACTGGTAAGGTTTCTATAAAGTATGTAACTTATGCTGTAGCCATTTCTTATTTAAGTATCAGAAGTGTGTACTATCCCCTTTCATTATTGTCTCATTTTCCTAAACTCAGATTAGATCCTGTCTTTTAACTGATGGGAAAAATGAAACAACCACATTGTGTGGTTTTGCTGTCAGTGCAAGAAGAGGAGTCCAGAGATCCAAAAATGGTCCGATTTTGACCTCGCCCTACACTCTTCCTCAATAATTGGGATATGTGGTTATAAAATGTTTAAAAACAGGAAATAGTCCTCCTCTTCTTGGAGCATGGGTAACAAAGGTCATTGGGCTCATGGAGTCTAGTATTTCTTCACGTAGAATCATCAATCTTTTTTTTATTGATTGATTTAATGCAAAAAAGCCCTCTGTAAAATCTTTATGATGCTGAAGCAGCATGTAAACAAGTGTTCTGTGGCTGCTTTTGAAAGGCAGTGTGAATTGCAGTATATATTATCAGTGGCTTAAGTGAATCCTTGGGTTTTTATTTCTGTCTCATGTTGTTATTTTCTTTGTGGTTTACTGGTTGTATTGCAGCTTCTGTCACTTAGTTTCCATCAGGAATACATATATTCTGAAAGCGCACACTGCGATATTACAGCTCATGCTTTTCAGCTGGGACAGTTCTTTAAAATATTAATGGTGTCACAACTGGAATAATTTCTAAGAGCAGCATTTTTACAGATTAGCTCCAGTTGCCCCCTATTGACATACAGTAGGGGACATAGTCTGGATTTCTTTACATAATCTCTTTTTCTCTGAGAATCCATTTAAAACACGCATGATGTGTGATTTTCTGGAAATCACTTTCATATGCAGCTTTTTGATCACTTGCACAGGGACCTTCTGTTCTCATTGATTGATTAAGTTGATAAATACAGTAGCTGATCTTTTTCCTGACATACAGGAGATCCTGACTGATATTGAATGCTGACAAGTGGGATTAACTAGTAATTACTACCGAAATTGTAGCAATGAATATTATCTCACCTCTGCATCAGCAGATGACAACTAACAGGAACAAGAAGCAGTTTTTCATTTTTTGACAACAAAAATTTCATCCTTTCTGGATTCGCTTCCAGAGAAAATGCTCGCTTCGGATAGTTCCGCACAGCAGAAACAAATGTTCTCAGTTTTCTAATTGTTTTTCTTTTAGTCTGCCAAACTGAAAGTTGTAATGCTATGAGATAACCATGTTGAACTACAGTAAATGCTCCTTGGAAACAAGTGTTTTCATGTCATGGCCTAGTTAAGGAAAGCATAGTGAATGTCAGAACTACAGGAAGCCAAAAGCAATGTCAGGCAATACTAGAGTAAAACCCAAAGATACTAAGATGAATTTAGATGTAAACATGAGTCTGTACATCTTGATGGATATCCCATTCACTCCATGATTTTTTTAAAACTGTGCAGTATATCTGTAAGTCTAACTCTGCATCGTTAATCTCTTCCAGAGAACTCCTTGCCAAAATCGAAAGCATTAGACGACAGCATTAACTCACCAACCAATGCAAACAGCACTAACTCAGGCCCGACGCCAGGGAACAGAATGGCCGAGTCCTCATCATCCTCATCCGCCTCTAGTTCCAAGGATCACGGGAACGTTCCCATAATAGTTCCTTTGATTCCGCCGCCATTCATTAAGCCACCAGCAGGTAAAACATTGCATATCTTACCTTTCGGAAACGGGTGCAGTAGGATACACATTGCCTACCTTTACAGTGTGCAAGGAATGTGGACTCCTCTCCTGTGTTCAGTTAAAAAAAAAAAGTAAATTCTGTGGAAGTCTATCTGATGAGCTGCCAGTAGGATGTTTTATGTTTTGGGCAGATGAATGTTATAATTTCAGTACGGAAAAAGACGGGCTCTGTGTAATTATAAAGTGAAAACTTGTGAAAGGCAAACATTTGAAGTGCTTTTCTAAATCTTTACATTGCTGTGCTTTCTGTTTCTCTCCTGCAACGTCTTATGTTACAGTTTCTTCTTTGTCGCTTAATTGCTCCTGTGAGTTCAGTGTCTCCTCGTGATTGCTGACCGTTCATACACAGGTTTTCTCTTGGGGCTCCAGTTTCCTTCAGGCTCCCTCAGACATGCTGGCTAGGTTAATCTGTGGCTCTAAATGGTCCCTCTTTGCCTCTGTGTGAGTGTCCTGCAGTGATGGGCAAGGGTGTAGTCCTGCCTTGCGCCCTGTGTTTCTGAAAGAGGCTCTCTGGTTGCTTTGACCTTTGCCAGGAATAAGCGGCTTTCTGATGGATGGATGGATGGATGGATGGATGGATGGAATTGTGTACTTTTTCATAATCAATTTTGTTATCTTCGGAGCCATGCTTGGTGAAGTAAGCTTTCCTCCAGCTACACCACACTGTGCTCTGTGCTTTATTTCCTAGTTCCAGCATTATTATATTCAACAGAATTATCAGTTACTGTGCACTTGTGCTCCCATTGCAAATATGTACTAATTATTAACAGCAAGAATGACAAATAATTGGTGTCACTCAAATATTAGCAAAAGGGCGTAGCATACCCTTACTTTCACAAACCATTATTTCAGTTGTTCGGTTAGATCCTAATGAATGGGATACAGGAACAGATGGAATAGAGCTTATTTGGTGTAACTCGTCTAGCATGAGGCTGACTGAACCCTCTTCAGTGAGGAATGAGCCAGGGAGCTGCAGCAAGGGTGTAGATGAGAGGTGCAAGAAAAAGGAGAGTCCAGAAGGTGAGATGTGTATATATACATGAACAGTAGGAGAACAGAAGTAGGTGAGATAGGGATCTAACCTCCTCATGAAACGCTGTTATAAACTCCATAAAACACCAGTCAAGGCAGGTCATGCAGGGCACATCATGGTACCTTGTATTTTTGCTCCTAAGGGAGTTGTACTAATACCACCTCAGCATTGATGCCTTTGCAGAGTCCACTCCCTGCTGAAACTCCTCAGTCATCCTTCCTCAGCTTTCTTTGACAAATTAATATGCTTTCTCTGGTTGAAACGCTGACACTTCTCAAGTCTGAAAACGTGATTAGACAGAGGGAAAATAAGAAACCCAAACTGTTTTGAGTAGAATTGGAACGCAGCAGGTCAATTAAATTCATTCAAAGGGTTAACCATGTAAGATACGTGGTGTGGAAGATAGTTTTGCAGGGAATAATGATACGATTTGATTCAGATATTCACAGAGAATAAACCAAACACAAGCCCTGTGACTGCATTATGTAATGATAAAAATGAACATTGCTGTTCATATGGGTTTTAGATAATTAACACAATTAAGATTTAGAACAGTGCTCCTAATCTTTAATCAGTTAATTTGGTGCAGGATTGACTTTAAGAAACCATTTAAGTAGCAGTTTAGACCTCTTCTGGTGGTTGAACTTCATCCTTCAAGAGCCTGAATAAACTAGACTCTTGTAAGGCCAAACATCTTATCAGTCTGCTCTTGCAGGTTGGCATTATCTGAATCATGTCCTAGTTAGTTTGTACCGCGTGCTTGGTAAGACAACACTGTAGAGCACAAAACAGATGGTGGACTTTGCTAGCGGACACAGCATTTTTAACAAATAAGCCAATTCCCTTTGTTCATTTTAAATTATTCAGCAGCTCATTTAAATTAATAGTTTGAGGCAAGGAGCTTGCGTTTGGAACGGCTGAGTTCTGAGTCGGAATTCATGTTTCCTTTGACAGGAAGAGCTGGCAGAGTTCAGAGGAGCTTTTGAACTCGAGGTTTGATCTGCAGAAGCAGGTATTCGCTGTTTGGCTGGAAGATTTAATTTTCCAAATTTGTAGCTGGCTGAGGATTGATTTCAAATGCAACTCATGTGTTAAGATGAATAAAGTGATTACCAAAACGAACAGAATATGCCATCTGTTTTCATACATTTAAAGTTTATGAAGAAATAGTAGAATATCTAGTAAGCAACAGACCTAACATATGCAATACCATTTTTTTCTGTAATCCTGCTCCCTTTCTGTTTTATACTTTCAGGGTTACTACATAATAAAAACCTCCAGCAGCAGAAGTGAACTCTCTCTTTCCTAGCGTTAATCCCGCATCAGCAGGGTCCGCTTGTCGGCACACCAGTCTCCATTTGGTGGTTTGAACCAAATCTTTGAGCTGACGTTGCCATTAACTGCGACCAAGAAATACTCCAGCCGGCACGTGGGAAAGGGGGGGGAGGAGAACAAAGTAATGTAGCCAATTCATAGATTGGGATTATTAGGAGGCCATGATTGGTAAGGGCCAATGGGAAATTTGGCCAGGACGCCAGGGTTACACCCCTACTCTTTTTGAGAAACACCCTGGGATTTTAAATGACCACAGAGAGTCAGGACCTAGGTTTTACGTCTCATCCGAAGGACGGTGCTTTTTTACAGTATAGTGTCCCCGTCACTATACTGGGGCATTAGGACCCACCTGGATGGCAGGGTGAGCGCCCCCTGCTGGCCGACTAACACCTCTTCCAGCAGCAACCTTAGTTTTTCCCAGGAGGTCTCCCATCCAGGTACTGACCAGGCTCACACCTGCTGAACTTCAGTGAGTTGCCAGTTGTGAGTTGCAGGGTGATATGGCTGCTGGCCGGCAGCAGAAGTGAACAATATTGATTATATTACAGTAGGTAGAAGAAAGGTGTCAGTCTCAAGCTATTATCTTTTGGTAAGTCTTTGAAGAGTGTTTTTATACGTTACTCTTGTAAACGTCATGATTTTGTGGTTGTGTGAATGGGTTTCCTGTTTGGAATTCAAAGCTGTAAACCAGGCTTTTTCTACCATCATCAGTCCCCGTTCCTTGTAACGGAAGTAGAATGTATTTTTACCTACAGAGCTGAAAAAACATTTGGGAACACCCTAAGTGGGTCCATATTCTCATATTTTGTACACACAATATAGTTAGATCTTCATGAAAGTCATTATAAAATAGGATTTAAAATATGCAAGTATATGAATATGTAACCTGATATAACACTATAGCATAATATTTGGAATATTTACTGTAATTTAAAACATTATCCATCAGCAAATATACTCAAGTGAATAGGCATGTGAACCTCTTTGAGCAACAATGACTTAAACTAGAGGTTTGCTGTGTGTATCAGCTTCAGGTTTTTAAAATATTAGCTTTTTTACAGAACTGCTTAACGTTGGTTACATTTGATGGTCTCCTTGCAAGAACAGCTCGCTTCATATCCTGCCATTACGATTCAGTGAGGTTTAGATCCAGTCTTTGGCCAATCCAAAGTGCAAACTTTTTTCTTCTCCAGCTATTCTGTTGTGGATTTGCTTGGATGTTTTCGAAGTTTAGGATTGTCTTGCCACTGTACATGTTCCATTTTTAGCTCAGCTTCAGCTGATAATGGCTGGCCTGAAATTCTCTTCCAGAACTTGGGGATACAACTCCAATTTCATGGCTCTCTCCATGACAGCAAGCCATCTCAGATCCCGAGGCAGCAAAGCAGCCCCAAAACATGCTCATCCCACCACCATGCTTGACAGTCTTAATTATGTCCTTCTTTTGGAAGGCAGTTTGAGTTTATGCCACACAAAACATTTCGCATTGTGGCCAAAATGTTCACATTTTTGACTCGTCTGTTTTTCAAGTAGTCTCCATCATCATCCAGATGCTCTTTGGAGAATTTGAGACATTTCTTCCTGGCTGTCTTCATATGAAAACCATTCCCCTCCAGTCTCTTCCTGATTGTTGAGGCATAAATGCTGATTTTAGCTGCGGTGAGATTTTAGTCGAGGCCCACATGTCCGTAGATGTTTCCCTGGGTTTAGTGTGACTTCCTGAATGATTTTCCAGGTTACTCCTTGGGAGATCTTGGCACTGTGGATCTCGGTAGAGTTGTGGTCTTGAATATTTTCCATTTGACTGACAGCAGATGGACCCACCTCCAGTTGTTTAGAAAAGACTTTGGAATCCCTCTTCAAATTGATGAGCATCATTTGTGCTTTTTCCCTGGTCCTCTGAGGTCTTTTGATTGTGGCATGGTGTATTTCTGCTGACCTGTATGGTGAAAACCAAAATCACTAAATTTCTGATCATTATATACTGTTCATGCAATTATTTGACCACCTGATCCTAATTACCCTCTTAATTGTGCTAAGTAGTCTAGGGGTTTTCTTAACATTTCATTTAATTCATAAATATAAACCCATTTGGTTATTTAGGGCAAGATCAGTTTCGATCAAACAGGGTATCATCATATGGTAAGGAAGGTTCTGTGGGAAGTTCACAGACTTTTTCTCAGTACTGTTTAGAATGATGTTTCAGAAATCTGAAAGATGTTACAACTGGGCATCTGCAAGTGTAAAAACAATACTGAAGTAATGCTAACATAAAAGAAATCAAATTCTTAAGTTTTTGGCTTTTACCAAAACAGTGGAAAACAGTGAACATGAAGCACTAGATTTTATCTTTTAATACTTTAACTTGAAAGCAAGCATGAACAGATAATAAAGGAGCTAAAATAACAGTCTTGAATGTGCTATGATCATCTCCCTCAAGAGAATTAGGTTCTTTAATTGCAAATGTGTCTAGTCTTTAAAGCAGAATTCTGTTAAGCTGCATTAAGCTGAAACAAAGCAAACTTAAAGAAATCTTCTCAGTGTAACTAACCAAGGGGTCGGGCAAGATATTAAAGATAAATTGAAGCATTTGACTCTAATGCATATTTAATTATTAGAACGTGATAATATTGGTGCAGAATTCTTCCTCAAGGAAAACTTTCTTAACTTTAGAGAGCAAAGTGCTGGCATAGCCTGCATCTTTTTAATTATTCGAAAGGCATATCTTAAGATAGACAAATAAGTCCTTTATGATTCCTACAGGGGCAGCAGGGTTTTGCGGTGGTTGTCATTGCTGCCTTGCAATGCAGGGGCCCTGTGTTCAAGTCCTGGGGTCCTTTCTGTGTGTTATTTCTCCCTGTGTTTGTATGGGTTTCCTCCAGGTGCTCCGGTTTCCTTTCAGTCCAAAGCTACTGTATACTGGGAGGTCAATTGGCTTCTGGGAAAACTGGCCCTTGTTTGAAAGTGTGTGTGTTTGTGTCCGTCTTTGCCCTGTGATGGACAGGTTCCAGCTCACCTGCACCCCTGTATTGGATAAAGAGGTTTGGAAATGGATGGATGGATGATTCCTACAGATATAGTGGTTACTAGAGGCGTGCAGAGAATTTGGCTACTCACGGATGGTGATTATTTCTGTAACTCTTCTTTAGTTAGTGATAACAGATATCTCATTTATTTTTTGGAGCTACCAGTCAGTTGACTTCTGAAAGTGGCATTTCAAGACGTAAGCATCCTCAGGAGGTCCTTACATGTTTTTATAATATCACAAAAGGATACATGCTCATTCCAAGGTCAATAGAAAATGTTTTAGTTAAGTCCCAAAAGGCAAAACAAACCAGCTGAAATGTTAATCACAACACACTCCCAAGTTGTTCTCTCTGTATTAAAGCCCATTGCCATACCATGTTTTGAAGGTGAGATTTGGAAACAGGACATTGAGAGAATTGATTTTAACGGAATGGCTACAATATCCCAGTCTTGAACACAACCCAGACTGATTGTGATGGTCCAGTATTGTTTCCATCTGTGGTACTACAGCTGTAGGCTACAGCTGGTTGCTCAGAGGTATTATTGTCCATCTCATTTTTTTCTGACTTTGGTCAACAACCCTATATAAGCACGCTTAGTTAGAACCACTGGAAATGTTGCCCAGAATTGTAGTCTGAAAGGTTGACTCAGGTGTGACTCCAATGAACGCAGCAAAAATACCACCAACAACCAAGTTAACTGTGGACCAGCAAGGCCCCACTAGTTACCAGTACTGCTTATTTAATTTATTAAATATATCCTTAAAATGAATCGTAAAAAAGTGTCAAGTTCCAAGATGAAGTTAAGTGTGTTGGAAAAAGCAACCTGATGCTTGATGTAACAAATTAATAATTGTGATTGGTTAGGGAGGGCTGAAATTGTCAGAAGTATCTGTCTGCAGTATCTGATGTTAATGCCCTTTGAAGCAAGCAGGAATGTGTAACTTCATAGTTAATGAAATTAAGAATTCTGAGGAATACATTATGCTATGGAAAACTTGCCATAATTAAAATATGTGGCATTTTTTTACCTTTGAAGGTTCAGAAGAGAAAACATAGAACCTTAGACACAAATGTGCATACAAGCATCCAGTTTTCATTATCTTTTGTTATGACTGAATATCTACAGTGGTTCTGATGGAGATAATTCCTATCAATGGAATAAATTGTGTCCTTTGAAAATAGTACATGGGGAACGCAAATCTTGGTTTTCTTATTTAAATTATATTTACATACTGAATTTTCCCACAGCTCTAAAATAAATTTGCTAATTAAAGCTAAAATAATAGTGGAACAGATGTTTGCTGAGTGACTGTGTCTTTAAAACAAAATATATTCTATCCTGAGTGACTTTACCTTGGAAAAAGAAAGAAAAAAAGTGGTTCTTCAGCACATTTCCCAGTAGATATTCTTGCTTAAATCCTCTTTTTACAAAATCCTTTTACAGCTTCCCTATCCAACCGCAACAAAACCCCCTCTGGCAAAAGCAACCATTTAGAGTTGCCTCTTGGAGGCCAACTGTCTCTGTTCATCACCCTGTTTTTTTACGTCATTTAGATTCAGGTGAAGACAGCCTGCCACAACTGCAAGACGTGATCTGTAGATGTCAAATCCCTTCTTATTAGTAGGAGACAGGATAGCCACAGAGTTTATATTAAATGATTTTATTTGGTATATGCCATAATAACTTTCTCTGTCTTGTATTGAAAGGAAAAACCTCAGGTTCTTTGCTTTTATCATGCTTTATTCGAAGTTGAATTACATAGCCTTGGTCCTCGGAAAAGTGAAGTAGTTTATTGTGGTGATTTTTCATTTTTCATATTAATGGACACCAGTTTAGAGAGCAGATGAGCTAAAGAGGGATAGCTACAGTACCACTGCTTTTCTTCCTTGGGAGACTTGACCTGCTAGTCTGGAGGTGTAAGCTATACAAGCCTGGTGATATCCAGAATCTGGTTCTGAGAGAATAAGATCACTTTATTAGCCATATACAATTTCTTGTATTAGGAATTTGTCTTTTCGCATACCCCAGCATGTTCTTTTATGCATTGTTGACACACAGGCACACAGACGGGGAGAGAGAAGCTTGGGGTCAGAGCGCAGGGACAGCCATTTATACGGCGCCTCTGGAGCAGTTGGGGTTAAGGGCCTTGCTCAGGGGCCGAACAGAGCAGGATTCCTCTGCCGGCCGTGGGATTTGAACCAGTAACCTTCCAGCCATAGGCGCAGATCCTTAGCAACAGAGCCACCGTACCGCCCCCTTTTTTTGGAGATGGAGAATGGAGATGATATCTCTGTCTCTTGCTTCCTAGCTCATCTGACTGAATCGGGACATGAGAATGGGATGTTGGATAAAGGCTAAAAAGAGAGTTGAGAGCTTGTATGTTTCCGAGGTTCACTGTTGTATCTCAGTTTCATGTTCACACAATTCCTGGTCTCTGACCATGTAGTGTGACTCCAGTTTTAGTCCATGTCACCTGTGGTAGTGAGTGAGCTCAAAGAAGTCAGTCTTCTTTCTCACTGCCGGCAGTCAGGAAGTTTCTCATCAGAGCTGCCCCAGCCTCCACTTTCCCCAGTGAATCTATTGATTTTAAACTCATTTCTCTCTGGCTCTCCACAGCAGTCACAGCACATGTGTTTATAGCCATGGAAACACTTTTAACAACTCTCGTCTTGGCTGCTGGAAGCTCAGTGTTACTCAGCTAACATTCTGCTGGGGAAGGACTTGACTGTTGATGGGTCCAAGGCCTTTGGAAAGTAGCCTTTTTCAACAGAGAGCGCTCTGCAGCTTACATTTCGAGAAGAAAACAAAACTGGTCTTCAGGATACAAGGAATGAATTGTTTGTTTATTGAAAAAGTGTCATCAGAACATGACTCATTTCGAATATAATGCTGCATTTGGACATACAGTAGTTAATTCTTACAACTGCTTTACATTCCGAGAGTGGTTAATTGCAGCATGGATGATTGTAAATGTAATTGGAGAAGTAACTCGATTACGCATCTTAGTTGACATGTTTTTCATTCAGTTTAATTTTGTTTCTGAGTTGTCTTAAAGATTTTCTACGATTTGGAAATGTCTTCCTACACGTGATAATTGCCTATTTACAGGTACTGTATGTACACATTCCAACTGAGCAGGGGTTCCCAACAGTACTGCAGGGGGTTCGTGAGATTGTGATGGAAACGCCAATGTCAAATTAAATAGTCCTATTAATAAATAACAAGGTAATAATAAGAATAAGAAAAACAACAGTAGTAATATTCATATTTTACCAAGTGAAAAGAAGCATGTTAAGAGAGTTTCTGTAGCATTTATCTACATTTATTGAAAGGTTTGATTTAGTTAAAATCTCAAGGGGGTACTTGAGGCAAATAATTTTGGTTGAAGGGGTTCAGCTGACAAAAAAGGTTGGGAACCCCTGCAATAGAGGGACCAGTTCTTCTGCCAATAGTGAACTTCCTAAAATTGACAACACACATTTATTGCTCCTTTAACACTGGATGTTGTGGGGATATACTTTTAATTGTCAGTTGGACCACAGATTTGTCTAAGTTGTGGCCTTGTATTGAGGTGCATAGGTAAAGGTTATTTAATCTAATATTCTGAAGTGAGAGTTTTACAAGGATGTTCCGGCTAAAGCAAAACTGTGAACATATTGGATAATAAAGCGCACATTGACAAACCAATGAGTGATCACCAAATCTGCTTCTTTCTAATCTGCAAGACAGAATAAAACAGAACACAGGGGATCAGAGTTGGCACCATGTTTTGTACAGTTAACAGTTCCAAGATCCTCCTGCTGGTGTTTATTATCCAGAAGATGACAGGAGAGTTTGACACAGAGAGCCAACAGGCCCTTATTTTCCTTCTCATTGTATGATTTGTTGTTTTTTTTTTGTCAGAGGAGGATGTGTCCAATGTCCAGATCATGTGCGCATGGTGCCAGAAAGTTGGAATCAAGCGCTACTCCCTGAGTATGGGCAGTGAGCTGAAAAGCTTTTGCAGTGAGAAGTGTTTTGCTGCCTGCCGGAGAGCTTACTTCAAACGCAACAAGGTAAGGCACGCCTTTTTTTAAAATAAATCATTCTGTCAGGGCCAGCTGAAACCATTTGAAAGTTGCGATTGAAAAGACTTCCTCTTTTATGTGAAAGAGCGTTTTCACAGAACTCACTTAAGTTAATTAATTAAATTCATTTGTCATTTTACAAAAAAGGCTCAAACTTTCACTTCTGTTACACTTTCAGTTCTTAATATTAGAATAAAGCAGTATTTCCACTCTTTAGAGTCTTAGCGCAATATTCCAAAATGTGCTGCAGTGTCTCAGGTCATATAAGTCCATAGATATTCCACAAAACAGTTGCAGAAAGGCAGAGTAGGAGAAAAACATATGCTATTTGAGATCATCTCAAAGTTGCTCTGTAATTTTGAGATCGGTATATTATTGTGACTGTGGAAGGTAACAAAGCTTGTTCCTTCCAAGTTCTCTAAAGTCCATGTTTCGAGTGTTGGATCTATGTTATTAGATGGTGGATCAGGTACAGATGGTAGATCTGGTCTGCAGGTATGCCTGAGTAAAATATGGAATCTTTGCATATCTGTGTTTAATTGAGCCTACAGTATAAGAATACCTCAAGTCTCTTTGTGAATCAGGACAAAACCAATCCCAGAAACCCAGAATAGAAAGTCCTAATAAAGAGGCTAAGCAATAGATGTCCTTTAAGCCATTGGCTTTTAGGTTTCTTTTCTGATTTGCATCCTTAAAAACAACCAACAGCTTTTTACAGGATGTCAAAGTCCCTGGATCCATGGGAGATTTACAGGAGGCACCAGCTGGTTTCTGATGATTTGTAGTAAATCCACATCTCGATCATAAAGGCCTGATATTGTGATCTCATAATAATGCTTTCATGCATTTACATTATCGTGCTTTCCAAATCTCTGTCACTAGGCAATTCATTTCTTCTGTGCTGTGAGACTCCCATGACTCTGGCATGACATAAAAACAAATCAGAAAACCTCTAATTAAAAAGCTCTCAAAGATAGCATGTATTGTTGAAACATTCCTGTTATTGTACAGTTTTGTGGCACATAGGCTTTCCTTAATCGCGTGCATATTTAAAAAGTACAAGGTTCAAGGTTCCCTAGGTTCAAAAGCAGTCCGTTAATCTCATTGCATCTTTTTGTTTTTGACCCTAGCACCCACTCTTTTTAAAGAAGAGGTGTTGCCTAAATTTTCTCATCACTTATATGTTTTAACACAGGTCTTTGGCAAGCTAAATACAAAGTAATAAATAAATATCTAAAATTTACCCCTTTAGAATTTGGTTTTGGGAAAACAAATCAGTGAAACCTGTAGTCCTGTAATATGAATGGTAGCACTACATGTGTACCACATATGACCATAACATATAGTGTATATTCTTTCCACAAAAGAAGATATTTAATGCCTGATATTAAATTAATCTGTTCTGCTGTGTTATGCTGCGTTAGTGTATCAGTTATATGGTCATAAAGAGCCATCCTTGAGCCCCCAGTGTTTGTCATAGGCTGTATACAATCAATTTCTCACACCAATCACATGAAATAAAGACAAAGCAAATCAATTCAAAAGTAACAACTGGCTATCTTGTCTCATGCTTGATAGATGGTGCCATTCTCATTTTGCGTCTCTCTCCTCGCTCTGTACTCTCCTCCTTTCTGATCTTGTTATATTTTTAACCCTGGGTCATTGCCTTATGTTCACCAGTGACTAACAACCCATTATTCCTTTTCATCAATGAGACAGGATGAACGTCGATGTGTCTCTCTAGTGGTCAATTGATTACCTATAATATAAAGTGAGATTCTGAGAATGTTTTGTTTGCTTTGGAACATAGCCTGATAATATCAGGGTATTTTTTTAATCTCCCTTTATCGCTAAAAACAATAGGTTTCTCAATAATCAAGGCATTCATGTGCTGTCTGAAGGAGCCCAGTGTTGTATCTGTTTATGTGTTTAAAATATTTAACTTGGTAAAAAAACAAGTGTTTTGAGAAAACGAAAAGGAATTACAAAACTATTACAGCAATTTCCAACTCAATGAGCCAAATTCTAATTCAATATCTTAAATCAGTTAAATGATTTTCATGCACTGCAGTGGTGTGAAAAAGTGTTTGCCCCCTTCCTGATTTCTTATTTTTTTGCATGTTTGTCACACTGAAATGTTTCAGATCATCAAACAAATTGAAATATTAGACAAAGATAACATAAGTTAACACAAAATGCAGTTTTTAAATGAAGGTTTTTATTATTAAGGGAAAAAAAAACTCCAAACCTACATGGCCCTGTGTGAAAAAGTGATTGCCCCCTAAACCTAATAACTGGTTGGGCCACCCTTAGCAGCAACAACTCCAATCAAGTGTTTGCGATAACTGGCAATGAGTCTTTTACAGCGCTGTGGAGGAATTTTGGCCCACTCATCTTTGCAGAATTGTTGTAATTCAGCCACATTGGAGGGTTTTTCGAGCCTTAACCGCTTTTTTAGGTCATGCCACAACATCTCAATCAGATTCAGGTCAGGAATTTGACTAGGCCACTCCAAAGTCTTCATTTTGTTTTTCTTAAGCCATTCAGAGGTGGACTTGCTGGTGTGTTTTTGATCATTGTCCTGCTGCAGAACCCAAGTGCGCTTCAGCTTGAGGTCACAAACAGATGGCCGGATATTCTCCTTCAGAATTTTTTGGTAGACAGCAGAATTCATGGTTCCATTTACCACAGCAAGTTTTCCAGGTCCTGAAGCAGCAAAACAGCCCCAGACCATCACACTACCACCACCATATTTTACTGTTGGTATGATGTTCCTTTTCTGAAAAGCTGTCTTACTTTTACGCCAGATGTAATGGGACACACACCTTCCAAAAAGTTCAACTTTTGTCTCACCAGTCCACAGAGTATTTTCCCAAAAGTCTTGGGGATCATTAAGATATTTTCTGGCAAAACTGAGATGAGCCTTTATATTCTTTTTGCTCAGCAGTGGTTTTCATCTTTGAACTCTGCCATGCAGGCCATTTTTGCCGTCTCTTTCTTATGGTGGAGTCATGAACACTGACCTTTACTGAGGCAAGTGAAGCCTGCAGTTCTTTGGATGTTGTTGTGGGGTTTTTTGTGACCTCTTGGATGAGTCGTTGCTGCGCTCTTGGGGTAATTTTGGTCAGCCGGCCACTCTTGGGAAGGTTCACCACTGTTCCATGTTTTCGCCATTTGTGGATAATGGCTCTCACTGTGGTTTGCTGGAGTCCCAAAGCTTTAGAAATGGCTTTATAACCTTTTCCAGACTGATAAATCTCAATTACTCTGTTTCTCATTTGTTCCTGAATTTCTTTGGATCGCAGCATGATGTCTAGCTTTTGAGGATTTTTTGGTCTACTTCACTTTGTCAGGCAGGTCCTATTTAAATGATTTCTTGATTGAGAACAGGTGTGGCAGTAATCAGGCCTGGGTGTGGCTAAAGAAATTGAACTCAGCTTTCCAAAGATGTGATAAACCACAGTTGATTTATGTTTTAACAGGGGGGGCAATCACTTTTTCACACAGGGCCATGTAGGTTTGGATTTTTTTTCCCTTAATAATAAAAACATTCATTTAAAAACTGCATTTTGTGTTTACTTGTGTTATCTTTGTCTTATATTTCAATGTGTTTGATGATCTCAAACATTTCAGTGTGACAAACATGCAAAACAATAAGAAATCAGGAAGGGGGCAAACATTTTTTCACACCACTGTATATATTCATTGTGTGCCGTGGCTTATCATAGAAAAAACAAAGTACACATAAATCTAAAAACTCAAATGTAGGCTGATGGAAAGGTGATTTGTATGCCATCTCTACTGTGATTTCAGTTGATCCCAGTGAGACCATATTGTACAGTACATGCAGAGTGGACTCCCATGATGATGTTCACTTCCCACTAGTTTGGTTAAATGTTTTGGCACTACTTTATGTTAGGGGTTGTATATGCTATTTATAAGCATTTATAAACTGAGTATATCAATTAAATATTAATATAGCAGCACAAACATGATAAGAACCAACATCTGCTGTAGGTTAACTGCATGCGAGCTCTAAAATGGGCACCTTTCAGGACCTTTCAGCACACCGATCTCCCAACCCAGTACTAACCGGGCTTAATTCAGACCATAGCCTGAGCCATATCACTAACCCTGACCCTAGAGTTATTTGCAGAACATTGCTTGTCCCGTCTATTACACTTTGCCCATCATTTAAAATGTTAGTAGCATAGTTAACTTATTAAGTTTAAACTAAAAAACACGTTGTTCAAACTAAAGTGTTGCCAAGTCTATTTACAAGTTGACCTCATGAGAAAAACATTTTTTCATCTACTGTATATGTTCAGAGGCCTGCCATCACAATGCTTCCTGCTACCAATATATACTCATTAAGCCTTGGCACTGGTGCGGAAATGCCCTTGTGCACAGCTTGCTGATCTAAATAAATGAGACACACTGAAAACTGTAGGAACAGCAGTGGCGTTGTTCTGATTTTTCATTGCTTTAAAAATCAAACATGCTAATGCCGCGCAATGCTGAAGGGCTGATGTTCTTAAGCATCGAGGTGGGCTTGTGAGATCCTGTTCAAGCGCAAGACCAAAGTGCCACGTAAAACTTAAAAGTCTGTGCTACCGCACTCTCGTTACCTCAACACCAACGAACACCGCATCTTGAAATGAGTTGTTCATTCCTGAAAAGCTGTGACGCCCTGTTCTTTGTCCTCTTTAGTCACTTAAAAGAAGTTGCCAAGTCAGAAGACGTTAATGGCTATTGAGGTGGCTGCATGCCAGACAACTCGCCATGCTGCTGTGCAAGCTCATACCAGGGAAAGGCATTCCGTTCTTTCTCATAATCAAAACAGCCAGATTTTGGGAAAGCCAGTCATAAACCTCTTGGGTGCTCTGAGATGGAGGGTGGGAGATTACATCCCTAGATTTTTTTGCTTGTTCCTTGGTGATGGATTTAATACTGAAAATACCATGTTCTATTACGTTGGGGAAAGGAAA